TAAATGTGTATAATACAATGTGAGACTTCAAAATTTATTGCAAAAGACTCAAAACTTTATACAAAAGAAATTGCAAAATTTCTGTTGTATAAAGTTTTGAGCGCGGTGGGAAGTGATACCTTCGTGTTACACTTTTGAGAGTGGACAGCAGGTGGGTCAGTTAATATATTTTAATATATTAACAGACTTTAAGAAAGCTTCTAATTTTCATTTCAGGCTCGACAAAGGCGCTAAGCGCCGAAAGCTCGCCAAAAAGGCCTAAACTTTTGCAAAACTTTTGCAAACACACATTTTTGCAATTTCTTTTGTAGAAAGTTTTGAGTCTTTTGCAATAAATTTTGAAGTCTCACATTGTTTTATACACATTTAGATTAAATTCAGTTAAAATCAATTTTGAACCGACTCGCAATGAATATACTCTTGATTGGGTTGACATTGCGGGGACGTTTACCAAGCGCTAATAAAATTACCCTTGCGCCCTCACCTTGCCTGATATGCTGCTTTACATTTTTCTCCGCAAAGCTGCCCTAGGGCTTGCTCTGCGTTGACTATATTGTTCAACAGTATTCTTTTGAAAGGTGATGTTCCAGAGGTTTGGCGCCTGGGATGGGTGAAGCCTATTCACAAGAAAGGCCCTAAAACGGATTATCGAAATTACAGGCCTATTTGTTTGACCTCTTGTGTCAGTAAAGTAATGGAAAGAAGTGTATGCGTACGCACCGAAGAATATCTCTCCCGAAATGCCTCATATTTCAATCAAGTGTTGTGGTATATAAACTTACCCAGTTCAGCTGCGTACGCATTCGCGTGCATCACACGGGACTGCAGCGGTATAAAACAGAGCAAGCACCCATTTTCCTTCGCTGCCTCTATCCACTCTTTTTCCAGGGCTTCTTTGAAGAGAGCAATAAACTTGCATTTTTCTCTAGTGAATATGTGTACATTTTATAACTAATGCGCAACCATCCCCTGACACTTTACAAGGACGCAAATCAAGCCTACTTCGGGATTATTAATGGAAAATGTGCATGAGTTCTGTCGCGCGGCGAAGGGCACACGGGCTGGCCGAGTTGTTATCCCGGTGAGAAGCAGGTGTTGATTACTTTGATCGTCCCTAGTCGTCGAAAACAACTGGTCTCGATGCGCAATCCTTCGATCAGTCCCCATGTACACGACAACTTAGCCTGTCTCTGCTGCACAGATCCATCGATGCAATAGGTTCCTCTAACTGCCCAGAAATAAATTCGATCATTTGTGTCAGAACTCATGTCAGAGCGCCGACGTGATAGCCAATAAGAGGAACATTTTTCCTAACATATACAGAGAGGTTGACTCACAGCAGAGTCAACCCTGCGTTGCGCAGTTCTCAACGGCCACGTTGCGCAGTTTCGCCCGATTAGACACGTTCTCTCGCGCGAACATTCACACTCGCATGCTCGAGCCGTCTGCGTCTCCGCCCATACAGCGTGCGTTGAGGATCTCTCAACGTGCCGTTGCGAACTGCGCAACGCAGGGTTGACTCTGCTCACGAGAGGCCCGCACATGAATTTATGGACCTGGGTACAGTGCAGCACATACTATTAGCTAATTAATAGTTACTAGTTATACCTTGAACCAATGAACTTTGTACTTGTCGCCATCAATGTCACAGTTAAGCATTGTTGATTCACCTTCTGATGAGTTAACAGTTCGAAATCCTCCCTTCACGATAGGAGCACCTAAACAAAATTTTTGAATTCAGAACAGGATTACAGAAAGTCTGTGTTGCTTAATTGGCCGCAGTGGCACAGACTTCACAGAACTGCTTTCGCTAAAGTAGAAAGAAACACTCGGTTTTCCCTCGAGACAGCTTTTGGTATTCAGAAGTACGTCCTTACTCTAAGGGAGGTGCTACGAATATTGGAGCAGAGGGAAAATCTTCTCACTGCAGTGGGAGGTTGGGTCCCTATGACACTAAGACTGACACTTCCACGGCGAAATAGACCCATAACGGCCTAGCAAGGCCTTACTCGTGGTGAACGCCGCTAGATGGCATACAAGGCCTTTCATTGCTCTCTAGTAAGGAGTTGCGTCTGCGGCTGCGAGTGAAAAGGCAAAGCAAGAGATTCACACCGACGAAATGATCTATCGATTGAGAGCTCGTCAAGCGCGAAAATCAACACAGAAGAAGGGGTCTTATTTTATGAGTTCAAATTGTTTCTTAATGAAAATCAGGAGCAGGCAAACCATTGCGTTGAGGAGTTACCTTCAAAGACGGAATTCACGACGAAAAGGCAACTCATTGAACACAAGTTATAGGTGGTAGGTGATGCACGAAAGGAGAAAAAACCGAGAAAACGGCCTAGAACCCGAGAAACAGGATCCCTTCTTTGGCGGCTGATTTCCGTATTGACTCACTGGTGCTGCTCATCAATGCTAGCACACTCTCTCTCCCTCTCTCTCTGCGAGAGGGGCGTACCGCGCCGATAGCGCGCCAACAGCGCCGCAGGAAAGGTCGTGATAGATCGCCGGGAGCATATCCCTCAGCAAACTGCGTGTCGGTCCGCACGCTTCAAAGCCTCTCCTGTCTCTCCACTGGAAAAACTTCCTCTTCTTCGATCTTCGCATTTATCCTGCAATCCACCTTTAATTTGTTGTTAACAACTCAACACAGCTTAGCTAGTGAACGTCACACGCCCTGACGGTTGTGGCGTCGAAAAGGCCTCCTGGCCAGGGGATCACCTCAGAAATGAAGAAAAAAAAACAAGAAATATATCATTTTAAGCCTAAAGCCCAACGACCACAATCGGACGTTTGAGATTGAGAAGATGTGGTTCAACTCCTGCTTTGACAATCTTCGTCGCCTACGCACCAACATCCAGCTACGACGAGGAAGAACACGAAGCATTTATATGGAATTGGAGAAGTTCTACAGGGAAGATCATACCTTCTTCAAGGTCATCGTCGGCGACTTCAACGCTAAGATTGGCCCAAGAAGAACGGCTGAAGAACTTCACATCGGTACTCACGGAATGGATTGGAATGAGCAGGGCGAAAGACTGTCTGAGTTTATCATGTCGACCAACACCATCCATGGTAACTCACAGTTCCAGAAGCCCCTCACCTTCGTTGGACTTGGGAGTCACCTGATGGACAGTTCCATAACGAGATAGACCACATCATCTTCAATCGAAGGTTTTGCCTGACCGACGTCGCTGTTGTTCCAAAGTTCTACACGGGATCGGACCATCGTCTCCTCCGCGCAAGATTCCACTTTCGATGCGTGTTGAGAGAGCCTCAAAGTTCAGGAAGCGAAGCCCCAGGACAGTCATCAACTGGGATCACTTCACTTCTCTTGTCAGCTTATGGGAGGATTCCGTTATCGAAAACATCGACGAGGAATATCATCGGCTCGTTGAACACCTTCACGAGAGTGGCAGGAAGGCAGAGAGTTTGAAAGTCACCAAGGGACGTCTGTCTACGGAAACTCTCGAAGCTGATACGCCAACGTGGAGCCGCACGAGCTGCAGGCAATCACCAACTCACGTCCGAGCTTGCGAAGCTATGCAGAGAGGCGATAAAGGAAGATCTCAAGGAGCGAAGAGCAGCAGTATTAGCTGAAGCAGCAGAGGCTGGGAGGAGCATCCGCAATGCCCGCCGAAGCTTTGCCAGCTACAAGACCAAGATGACCTGCCTCCGACGTCCGGATGGAACAGTTACTGCATCCCGAAGGGCAATGGAGAAAGTCATCCACGACTTCTACTCGGATCTCTTCGATAGCCATGTCCATCTGCCTACTTATCAAGTGCAAAAAGCACCCGGTCTCGCCATGGTTGAACCGGAACATCTGAAGAATAGTACAGCACCCGGTCTCGACAGGGTTAAACCGGAACATCTGAAGAATGCACCGCCAGTTATCATCAAAACTCTGGCTCGACTCTTCACGCGCTACCTGTCGGAATGCAAGGTACCCACTCCGTGGAAAACCAGCAGGACCGTGTTGCTGTACAAGAAGGGAGACTTGGACGACATTGGGCCCAATCTGCCTGCTGTCTGTAATCTACAAGCTATTCACTCGAGTCATCCTCAACAGGATCGGCAGAATACTGGATGAAGGCCATGCGAGCAAGCAGGGTTTCGAAGAGGGTTCAGCACGATCGACCATATCCACACGGTTACAAGACTCATTGAAGTTTCACGAGAGTACAAGATGCCGCTTTGTCTCACGTTCATCGACTTGAAGAAGGCCTTCGACTCTGTGGAGACAGAAGCGGTCATCGAAGCCTTGGGCAACCAGGGCGTACTCAGTACATCAAGATTCTTCGTGAGCTCTACAGCAACTTTACGACCAGAATCTCACCATTCTACAAGGAGGTCATCATCGACGTCAAGAGAGGGGTTCGACAGGGCGACACCATCTCGCCCAAACTCTTCAGCGCCGCTCTCGAGAACGTCATGCGTCAACTGGAATGGGAAGACATGGGAGTGAAGGTCGACGGCCGGCAACTACACCACCTTCGTTTTGCTGACATCGTTCTTATAACGCCGAACATCGAGCAAGCGGAGCGAATGCTGGCTGATTTCGACTGCGCCTGTGGTAAGGTCGGTCTACAGCTGAACCTAACGAAGACGATGTTTATGAGAAACGGATTGGTTCCTGATGCCCCATTCACGCTCAACGGAACGAACATCACCGAATGCTCCAGCTACGTGTACCTAGGTCGGGAAATCAATATGATGAACGACCTAGCTCCAGAGCTGAGCAGGAGGAAACGAGCGGCTTGGGGAGCGTACAAGAACATCGAGGGAGTAGTGAAGAAGACGAAGAACATCCGGCTCCGTGCCCACCTCTTCGATTCCGCTGTCCTTCCTGCCCTAACCTACGCCTCAGAGACTTGGACTCTGCGCAGGACGAGCATGCGGTCAGCGTTATCCAACGCGCTGTCGAGAGGACGATGCTAGGAGTAACCCTATACACGCAAGTGCAGAGGGGAATCCGGAGTTCGAACTACGCCAAGATCAGGGACGCTGCCGTTTTCGCCAAGGAATCGAAGATAAGGTGGGCCGGACACGTCATGCGATTTTGCGATGACCGTTGGACCAGAGCGGTTACCGACTGGATCCCTCGGGACGTCAAACGAACACCTGGACGACCGCCGGCCCGATGGTCAGACTTCTTCACGAAAGCTCTGAACGAAAGGAATGAAGGACTTCGTGTCCCTCGAGCGAGGAGGATCCACTGGACCACTCTAGCACGCGACAGGGACGAATGGAGACGTTGCTGGCGCCCGCTCGAGCAAATCGACGATCAACGGGACGACAGGTATATAGGTATATCACCTCAAGAAATCGTTAGAAATCATGTTTTTTATTGCATTCTCCAGATCGAGTATTGTGAATGCTAAACAGACATCTTAGTTATCATCTTCTCCAAAACTGACGACCAGTCTCAACTCGATGAGGGCCTCGCCCATTTTTCGACTTGTAGCTGGCTGGAATTTGGATAAAGAACGGGAAAGCACTGAACTTTAAGTATAGGTGAGGGACATCGTCATTACCTTGTGAAAAGGAATAAAAAATTGAAAATGATTAAGAGTGTCCAAAGTATTTTGGCCAACCAATACTCACCTAAGCGAATTTCTCCACTATTCCAAAATCCAACTTACTTAACATGCCTATCTCATACGATACTTCATCTTGACCAGCGTCATTCTTTGCAGTGCACTTGTAGATGCGAGGAGCATCACCAGAAGCCGAATTCACCGTCAAGGTTCCGTCGCTTCCTGTAGGTACGAATTTTTTGTATTATTTCGTTCCATATTGCTCTAAGTTTGCATCTAATCAACCTCTGTGAGTACACATTTTTCGGTTACGATAATGAGTTAAGGTCACCTCTGATGAAGACGGTTATGCTTATGAAATTCGATACAATGTCCTGAGTTACATCAAAAACTTTCAGGGCTATAATAACAAGTATAGCGTGGGGTACAAATACGGCCACTGACTGAACTTCAAGAAAGGCACCTTCTCAACAGTTGGCAAATCTCCCAACTGGACCCTCAGATACACCATTGTCTTTTACGTATGAATTCATGCTTTCAAGGTCTCCGCAAATTGCCAAATTCACGGGCATCTTTTCGAATAAGAAAGGCTGAGAACTGTTTGATAGATGTGATCACATGTAGCTATACATAGTTGTTATCCCATTTCGACTTTCTGACTTCTTCTTTGTAGCCTTGGTCTGCAGATTTGGTGTTCACTGTACACGCCCGCCAAGATACATTTTATTTGACGCTCCAATTGGGTTACGGTAGCAACGACGTAATGGTGTGTGACATTTTGTCATGAACGGAATCTTCATAAAACACTTTCGGTCTACTCTCAGCTAGTACCGGTAGGAAACAGTTGTAGCGTCAGAAGGGCGCGAAATGGAGCCGATACAAAAAGCGAAAGCTAAATTCGTGATCAAGGCACAAGATAATCCTAACGGCAGCAACTTCGGAGGAAGCTGAGATATCTATCTATTTTTGATGAATCAAACTACCCACCTGGGAGTGAGTACCCTCGATCAATCTGCTAATAAGTCGGTAATGGTTCAGAGAGTACACAGACACGTGGTGGCGAAGTCACAGAACCTTCTTTCCATTAAAAGGGTGTAGTTTTGCGCACGTACTTTCAACTTCCTGTGAAAGTTCGTGGCCGGGCTGGTTGAAGAACATGACCTGTCGGAAGAGGTGTCCAGTGGTCAGAAGCCTTGGTGACCCCGTTAGAATCGGCCCACTATATCTGCCAACTCCATGCCGAGCTATTCTTCAAATCCTCCAAAGGGCTTATACTTACTTGGCAGAAGCAAAAAGCCAAAACGTAAAAAATGTAACGACGAGAATTTGAACCATAATTTTTCACCGCTTTTCTAGGATCAAAAGACTGTTTAGC